CCCCCCACAACCGTACAACCTCCACCCCCTCTTTCTACAACCTAGCCCTGCCTCGTGGTTGGTGGGTGCTCTGGTGTTGTTCCCTCCTTTCTTCCTGTCAAACGTCTCTATTCCCCTTATCTCTCCTCCTTCCTTTCTTTGTACTTTATCCTCCATTACTTACTTACTTTTTACTTGTTAAAACTTGTTCTGTCCTCTTATACCACGAGAAGTCGAAAAGGGGTGAGGGGTATATTTGTCCCCCACCACTTCTAATCTTCGCCACTTATAATACATGTAAAACTGATTGTGTTGCAAGTGCCGTAACACTCTTACGGAAACTAAACTAACTGAAACAATCTAACCCACCCCCTTTTCTCCCCCCCCCTCCCCAGGGTCCCCGCAACTGTGTGGGAATGAGACTGGCCCTGCTGGAAACAAAAGTTGCAGTGGCGGCCATCTTGCAGAAGTTTAGCCTAGTCCGCTGCCAACAGTCAAAGTACCCCGTGGTTCTCGAGCAGTTTCGGATGGCGGCTAAGGACGGTGCCTGGGTCAAACTGGAATCACGGGCATAAAGACCCTCACAAGTTGAAATTTCAACTAAAAGAGAGTCTACAATTTTCCTTTTTTTGATATTAAACCCGCAGGGGCGAAGGCTGACTTGTTTGACAGGGTAATCAAAGTGAGACAAAGAACCAGACACAGATCCCACAATGGGAACACCAGTAGCAAAACTTCTTATTGGAGGTGGATTCACTGAAATGTGAATGAAATCAAACCCTGAATTCGTGTTGCATGTTGCCCCGCCAAAGTATTGTAAGATCTAGAGAAAATGTGTCATTGACTAATGTCTATTCCCACTTTGAGCAAAACGTAATAATAACTTTTAAACGTGCGGTGGGAATAGTAGTCTCAAGATTTTTTAACAGTGAATGTAACTAAAGATGTGACTACACAAACAGAAGTCAAAGAAGCAAAGATGACAATACAAAAAATATATTATTAATTTTGTTTCAAATAGGGTGTCTTTTCGCAGCCTTTTATATAATAATAATAATAATAATAATAATAATAATAATAATAATAATAATAATAATAATAATAATAATAATAATAATAATAATAATAATAATAATAATAATAATAATAAATAATAATAATATTAATAATAATAATAATAATAATAAATTACACTTTTATTTGTCCCAGAAGGGCACTTTGTTTTACAATGGCAAACATACATACATAAATACATAATTATAAATACGTACATACATAAATACATACATGCATAAATACATACATAAATACACACTATTACACAAATACAGAACAGTTTACAAACAATGCCACTGTCGGTCGCCACTGTGCAGCGCCCTGTAATTTGAGCTAGGGTTGTCGTGTCTTGCTCAAGGACACACTCCAGTGACCACCCATCTGATCCCCGTGTCACCGACACTTGCTTGACATTGCTTGAGTCAAAACTCACTACTCACTTAGCCACTGGAGCCCCCAGTGTCAGTAGAGGAAAATCCTGTGTTGACCTGGGCGGTAAAAAGTCGAGGGAAAAAAAAAAGCACCTATAGCGGCCATGACATTATCAGGTGTTACCCCCCCCCCCCCCTCACCTTTTTAGGTAGACTCTACCAGTTTAATTGTTAGCTTACATAACCAGTGCTTGTGATTGCTTATGAGAGGGTCCGAAAGGGGTGAACAGAGTTCAGTCGAACCTGTGCAAGATGTAAGACGGCCACCCATTGTCAAGGAGAAAAGTGGCCGTATAAGACAGTGGCCGTCTTAGGCAGGACTGATCAAGATAAAGTAAACAATTCTGAGGTCGCCACATTGTTGCTGTTGTTGCTTTCGCTGGGGGGGGGGGGGTCTTCTTTTTTTAAAATTTTATTTTGTTGCTGCTTTTGTGAAAGGGTGACAATAAAATTAAATGTATCAGACAAGGAGGACCGAGTGCTATGGTAAAACAAACACATGGGTCGCCACCACTCCGAGAAGGAGCGACGCTTCTGTCACAAATTCATGTTGACGTCCATTGTTACTTTGTTACAGACTGGGTAAACAGTGACCACTCATCTCACTTACGATTTGTCTGAGTTCTGGGCGGGGCTTATGGGTTATGAGGGATCACACGCTTACCTCCTCACCAGCAGCTGAAAATTTGTTACCTATTGGTCAACAGTGGGAGGGGCCTACGCAACATGATCAGTTGGAGGGACTACCTAACAACAACGACAGGTGATTGGATTATGACGGCTCGCCCACAACGCCAGGGGGCAGTGCATGATTTATAACAAAACGTAATGGCGTCATTAAGGTGGCCGTCTAAGACAGGTGTTATTGTTTGGTGTGATTGGGGTTGTGTGTTAAAATAATGTGGCTGCGGCCGCGTTGGACAGGTGCCCGTTTTACACAGTTAAATTATATAGAAAAAACGCAAGGGGAGAAATGGAAAGTGGTCGTTTGTACAGGTGGCCGTCTTATAGGGGTGACCGTCATGGCAGGTTCGACTGTACATGCATTTATGAGGAAATGAAACAGTTTGATTTTTTGTGTTTTTGTTTTTGTCTCTTTTTTTTTGTCCCTCTACAAGGAGAACACTTAAAATACAATGTGTAGATCAGTTTGATCTATACAGATGGCCTGATCTCAGTGATCCTCCGTTAGTTAAATAGCCCCGACTGTCCAACATCAACGGAACTGATTCTGCTGTTTGATCTATGTTTGAAATGTGTCTTTCTGTAGGGGATTTACTTTATACGTGTAAAGAGTTTACAATTCTTATGTGGATCAAAAGAAAGTTTGTTGTCAAATGTGAGACCCAAAGTGACCTGGAGACGCACAGTAGAGTCTGAAATAAAGTCCTGGAATCATTCATGGGGAACGTTGACCGTATGATCGTATAGCCTAGATCTGACAAATCCTGTAGTTTCAGTACCGGTTTACCTCCTGTTGTATGTAATCATTTCTTCACCCGTTGTTGTCCTGTCATACAGTTTTGTGTGACGATGAAAATATCATTATTAAACAATTGTATTGGATTGATCACCTTGTGTAAGCACGTTTGTGTTGATATGTGTCGTTATTTTGTTGTTATCAGTCGTAATTTGTTGTTATCAGTTGTTATTTGTTGTTATCAGTTGTTGTATCAATGTAGACTACCTGGGGGGCTCTCGTGGCCTAGAGGTTAAGAAGTTCGCCTCTCATCCAAAGGTCCCGGGTTCGAATCCGGGTAGCGACCGAAAATTTTTCTTCTAAAAAAATGGTCTCCTTTCACTCCCTTCCCTGCTCTCTAGCAAAATTCTGTCGTCTGCTTTCGTCTCCTCTTTCTGCCCCCACCTCCTTACCTTCTTTGTCCCCTCCTCTGGGCTCCTGACTCTTTGTGTAGCCTTTCTACTTCTACTCCATGGCTCCTTCTTACTGCTGTCTTTCAGCCACACCCCTGATCTTCTGGAACTAAAGATTTTTCCCTAGCCTTCTCGGACAAGGGCGAAAAATCTAGGTCCCGTGTGAAAGTTGTGAACGTTAAAGATTTCCTGGTGTTCTAAAAAAATCGATAAGAGTAGGCTGTAAATTTATACGTTTTGGGCATTTGATAAACTGTTGTGTTTTGTTGGGGGAGGGGGGGGGGCGAAATAGCAATACAGATATAATATGTTTTGAAATGGAATATCACTGAAGAAAGTTAAAATTCTATCTGTCCAAAACAATGCAGCACGTTTAGTTTTACGGAAAAGAAAACGAGACCCTGCTAAACCTCTTTTACGGACATTGCATTGGCTTCCTGTTGAGAAAACAGTTGTGTACAAGTTGGCCACCCTCTGTCACAAATGCTTGAATGATAATGCGCCATCACATTTATCAAGTCTGTTGAGACTACATTTTAACTCACAGTTTAAGGTCCTCAGCTGACAAAAAGAAATTTCTTTTACCCTTTGAAACTAAATACCATGGGTGAAATACCTTTTGAATATCAAGGCCCCAAGATCTGAAATGCTATGCAAAGTACTTTAAGAGAGATCAAATCTTTTGATTCATTCAAGTGTCAGCTGAAGTCATTTCTGTTTTTAAATTAATAAGATGAATTTTTTGAGTGATTTTCTTTTAGTCAAAACACAACGTTTTATGTTACTGTTGTACGTTGTACTGTATTGTAAAGCACCAAGAGCCTGTGTACTTTAATCAGGGTTGAGCGCTCTATAATTATTATTATTATTATTATTATTACTATTACTTTTATTACTTTTATTATTATTATTATTATTATTATTATTATTATTATTATTATTATTATTATTATTATTATTATTATTATGTCAAAGCTGTTGAGCTAAAAAAAAATCAACGAAATTTCCCAACGGGCGTGAATTGAAAAATGTCGAATAAATTATTTTGAAGATGGCCTGATTTCCCAACGATGCTGCTCTTTGCTCTCTGGTATATTTGTCCTTCCCACTGTGGGGACTGATTGACTGCCCGCTTCCTGTGAATATATATGTTACAGTCAAACCCGGAAACTAGTCATTCTCAGGAAATGCCTGAAAATTCAGTCATTCCCAAGTAATTCCTGCTTTGAACGGGCATTTCTAGGAATGCCTAAAAATTTTAGACACTCTTGGAGAATGACTGAAAATGAAAGCCTCAGATTTCCAGCTTTGACTGGTTGTTATTTTGATCACTAGGCAAACCATTTGACTATCACTCAGTGTTATTTGCATTGTCGCAGTTATGGTTTGAGTGCGGTGTTGAGGAGTAGCGAAAGTTACAAACCTGTAACCTGTCATTAGATATTCACTTTATAGTTAAGCTTAAATATGGCTGAAAATCCTTGTGAAGAAACTTTTACAAGAAGGCTTTTTGAAAAGTATGGAATTACCTATTACCCAAGACAAAATATCAGGAAATGATACATCAGTTGCAGGCGACTTTGGGTGTAACCACAAAAACAGCTCAACGGTACAAGCTTCAAGCCAGGTCAGTTTTAGCTATTGTTTTTAACTGTCTGTCTGTCTGTCTGTCTGTCTGTCTGTCTGTCTGTCTGTCTGTCTGTCTGTCTCATTCAATGCCGCCGTCAAACGATCGCCTTACCAAGCACTGCTGGGTACTGAACCAAGGGTGGGCCTCAACATCTATACCAACGGAAATGCTGAGCCAGTTTCAGTCCGGGGATGTTTTACGAGCCTTTGCCCAGCAAACAGCTCTAGTAGCTCGTTCTCATGTCGACGAAATCACTTACGTTGCTGCTCATCTTGTCGACGAAATCACCGACGTTGTCCAAGTCACATAATTTGCTGCTGCTAACGGGCAAGCCACAAACCGGAATTATCCTCAGGTCGACCAAGTTGATGGCATTGGCACTGTTGAAAACGTGGCACTTCTTGATGCTAGACAGGCTCAAATACACTTTCATAGAGAGCAGAGTAAGAAATTCCAGATGGAACAAGCAGAACGAATGGTAAAAAGAAGTAGAATAGAACTCGCTCCAGGCCAGAAAGGTGACAATGTTGCCATTCCCATTCCTCTTGTTGATCGGGGCCGTGGCGACCCACGAAACATTCTGACTGTTGTTTTGGACAAAAATGACAACAACAACTACACGCTGGCTACCAAACATGGAATCTTAAAAGGGGCAAACAGCAGGAACGAATTTGAACTTTGCCCTGAAAAATTACTTCTGATGGGTGATGTTAACTGCACCACACAAGTCAGTTTGAGAGAAGCGGTTGTATTAAAAAATGTTGGCTCTCAGTGTGGCGGTCAAGGTTACATTAAATGTAACTGTTCAGGGTCAAAGAGATGTCAAAGAGATGTCAAACAAACAGAAGCAAATGCTTCAAAGCAAAGCTCAAATGTAATAGTTGTTGCCACCAAAGTTTCAACTGCAAAAACAAATGAGCTCATGTAAATGAACATTCTATATTCAATTATCACTTTTTATTATTAAATTTGTTTTCATTAAACGGGATGAATAAATTACCGCATGCACCCCCTGTCATTAACTTTACATCTGTCATTCCGCCATTTTTTTTTCGATGGTAGTCATTCCTACGAAATGCCTGCCGGCCTATTTCAGTCATTCTCTGAAAATGACTAATATTTTTAGGCATTCCTGGAAATGCCTGATCAAAATAGGAATTATTTGGGAATGACTGAATTTTCAGACAATTCCTGAGAATGACTAGTTTCTGGGTTTGATTGCAACATATACACAGTCGAACCTGCCGTAAGGGAAACCTGTCATGATGGAATCTTCCTGCTTCTCTTTGGTAAATTTTGATAGAATTACATCTGTCTAAGAAGGAAACCTTTATTACTCGGAATCGGACAAAGAAATTCTTTTCTTGTCGCAGTTTGAAAACACACAAAAATGTGGTGCCTGCTCAAATTTGATTTAACCCCCCCCCCCCCAAAAAAAAAAAACCCAACAAAAAACCCAACAAAAACAACAACAACAAATAAACCAAAGGAAAAAACCCAAAACAACAACAACAACAACAACAACAACAACAAACCCCTCCGTAGCTAAGTAACACCTAGGAGGTTAAACCGTTGTTGTAAGGTCCTTGAACAACACCAGTGCAGTAGTGCGTGCACCCACAGATTCTCTACTACATGTACTAGACTAGGCCTAGTAGAGAATCTTTGGTGCAGCCCGCTTTCATCTCTCCAGTTTCCAGGCCACGCTACCGTTCGCGAAAGGGAGGAAGGGGTGCGGTTTGGGGATGGCTCAAGGAGATTAAGTTTTTTTTAAAGCTCATTGGGATGCCTCAAGGCGAGCGTCACGCAGACCTACATTATTCCAGAGACGTACATTGTACTACGCTTGCCTCTGACCCCGCTCACGTAGGCCTGCGTGAGCCTGAGAGGCACAGAAGCTCAGGGTGGAGCGGCTGGGAGAACTCACAATTGTGTGTGTGTTAAAGTGCTCGCGTGGCGAGCCGGCACAGAAATAAGTTCCCTGGGTGGTTGGCAGGTGCTCTGGTGTCGTTTGCTTCTTCTTTCCTCTTAAACACGCCTCTCACTAGCTCCCCTTCTTCTATATTTTGTGTTTGTTACTCTCTTGTAACAATTCTAATCTTCGGCGCTTATATGACACTATTGTGATGCAAGTGCCGTAAAACTCTTACTTTAACTAAACAGAAACTTTCCTGGGTAGCCAAAGGCGTGAGATTAATAATTTGACATGCCCACCGCCCTGACAGCGGAGAGCCGAGATAAAAGCTCCAGGAATCGTTGTTACATGCAGGGGAGGGGCAAAATTGGCTGATTGGGCTTGTTATACAGATGGGCGGAGTAAGGGCATCAGGCCTTCTTTAGTACTAATCTAAGACAACCTAGGCTAAGGGTGAAATTAGGAGACTTTCCATCGCTTCTGTTTTTAACTATTGGTCAAACAGCGGTGACATTCAAGCACGGGTGGCAATGGATTAACAAGACTAACGCATGCCACTATCAGGGTGGCTAGAAAAGCACGTGGGAGATGTGATGTTAACATATTTAAAATTCAACTTTTTTTTTGGCCACAGATTGCTGGCACACAGGTGACCCCGGATCACACAGCGTCCGGCCCTTCAGACCCCCCCCCCCCTCCTCCCATTTCCCCCCCCCCCCCCCAAATTTCCCCTCTCCAAAAGGAAAAGCCCTGCAATACAACGTACATTATTTTCTGAATCCCATGCAATTCTGTCTTAAATAAAAAAAAAAAAAAAGTTTTTACAAATAAAAAAAAAGCGAAAAAAACCGCGCGGATGAACAAAAAACTGCCAAAACGTGCTAAGATACCGGAACCTTCCTTTTCTTTTTCAAGGGGGGGGGGGGGGGGGGGGATTGTAAAAGGAAACATAAAAAAAGCGAAACGAAGTGAGGGGAATGCATAGATGCCCCCCCCCCCCCCCCCCCCCCCCGCCTCACTCTTTCCCCCAAATAAACAGAAAGAAATACGTTGGATGCAAATATGTGTCGGAACCGTGAGACAGTTTGCCTTTTCACCGTAAGGGGGGTGGCTGTGATGAGAAAAAGTCTTAATTGATACAACGTTTTTAGAAAGATAAATAATCATAAGATTTTATGAATATCTTTTTATTAAGTTTAATACTTTAATTTCTTGAAGTTGAAAGCCTCATAAATTTAAGAAATAAGACGATTATAAATTCAATCGAACCGATTTATTGAAAACAACAATCAGGGGAAGCTACTCTCGTAAAAAGTTCACGTATCAACATTTCGCTTGTTCGAGTTGGTCTCTTTTTACATTCGCCTTCTTCTGCTGCCTGTTGCTTCTTTCGAAAAAGGTAGGAAAAAAAGGACACCTAGATCTAGATTAGATCTAAATCGTTCGCTTCTTTCTGTCAGAAGTCGATTAAATGGGAGGACTTCCGTAACGAGCGACACTATGAGACAGAACAGAATTGAAGGCTAGGGGTAGGGGTAGATCTAAATCTAGATCTAGATAGATTCTATATTCTAGAATCTAGACTAGATAGATCTAGAATCTAGATCTAGGGGTACCGTGCGTAGGGGTAGGGGAAGGGTTAGGGTTTGGGTTAGGGTTAGGGTTCTTCTTTATTGTGTTTGATGGGGTGGTTGCTCAGAGGGAGAATCCAGAGTGAATCATGGTCAGGCCCATCATGGGTGGATTCACGTTTAAATGACGTCGAGCAACGTGTAGTTAACTTTCATGACCAGTCACTGTGGGGCAGAGCTGGTTGTAACGGAGTACAAGTACTCCGGTACTTGTACTTACGTTACAATTTTCGGTACTTTTACTGTACTCCGGTACATTTTGAGAATCAGTACTTTTACTGTACTCCGATACTTTTTATAAAAGTACTTTTGAGTACTTTTCAAGTACATTTTGAGTACTTTTGAAGCTTAATGAAAGAATAAGTGCCGACATTTCCGATCATAATTTACGGAACAAACACCCGGGCGGGCACAGCCGATCAACCAAGAGTTAAAAGTTGAGATTATAGAACTGCCCGTCGCGTCAAAGATCAGCCACTCTTGTGAAAGTGATCACATGCGCTGTAAAACTCCATGAAACGGTACAATGATCCCCAGGCGGGATCACACCGAGGTGTGAGCTGACCGATGGGCGTTTCTTTTCCACAAACATCGCACTCGCATCTGAGCTCGCCACCTGAACTTTCATCCCTCGCTGGGTGGGTTGGGCCTACAAGTTCGCTCCAGGCAGGATCACATCGAACTGTGAACTCTTCCCTGACCATTCAAGTTGAAGGCAGTTTTTCTCTATTCCCGAAATTGCGAGACAGCCTGAATTTTAACTGGTGTGGTCACAATGTAATGGTACATAACGACAAAGGCGGGGGGACTCAATCAGAGATGGAAGGCTACAATTTTTGGACAGGTAAAGGGGAGGGGCAACTGGATAAACGTAGATAAAGATCTCGAGACGATATGCAAATGAGTGTACGGTATAATATTATGGCTTGCCTCATGCCACCATGCTACAGTGATTGGTCATCAAGAATGACCACTCTTTGCTCGCCATATGTCATAAACCTACCCAGGGGTCACGTCAGTTCTTGGGTCACTGTAGATTCTTCGTCCTTAGCTTCGTCTGGCTAAGATCCCATATTTCCCTTGCTCCCGAGCACTGGGATCTTAGGCGGAGACTACTGTAGTAGAAAATTTTTGGTTACACTACACTTACTAGACTCTAGGAAATAATATCATGTAGATTTTTTTGGTGTAGGCCTATTTTGGTTTGCCGTGGGCGCCGTGGACTACACAGTGTGACCAAACTCTGTCTTACCACTATTATAATCAATTGAAACTGAAACTGAGTTCTCAATGTATATCAATCTAACAATTTTTTAGGCTACCTAAATCTCTTTTTTCCTTTTTTTTTTGTGGTTTGTGCTTAAGACTACCTTGATTCCTTGAGGATTTGTTAAAGAATTCAAAGCACTTTTTTTTTGCTGGCCATTTTCATCAATTTTTTATTTTCTTAGGTCAACTTTGTCTCTACATTTTCCAATTTTGATACTTTTCCTACTTTCCAACCCCTAGGACTGACTTACATTAGATCATATTGTCTTGCTCAAACAAATTCTATTCATAATATCACTTACTCACTAGTTGCGTCTGTTTGTTTGCTGGTTTGTTTTTTTCAATTTCACAGACAATTTCCACCTACGTCCAGTGCGTATATTCAAATGCTTTGTATACTGTTTACATTATTAGTAATAAATGGCCGAATTTGTCAAATATACTAGATATGTTATTCAATATGATGTTTTGCATTTTGAAGTGTTTTAGCATATTAGCAGAAAGTACTCAAAATGTACTCATAAGTACTTTTAAAAAAAGTACTTGTACTCAAGTACATTTTACAGGAAAGTACTTTTACTGTACTTAAGTACATATTTTAGATTGTACTTAAATTTGTACTTAAGTACCTTTTTAAAAGTACTTTAACAGCTCTGCTGTGGGGCACTCTTCACGAGAAGTGGTCCCAGCCTTAATCTAGATCTAATCTAGATCTAGAGATAATCTAGATCTAAATCTAGATCTACCTCCATACTCAATCGGAAACAAAAATCGAAGGCGAGGTAAAAAGCTGGCTGAGTTGCCAGGGTGAACAGGCCACCAAATGTAGAAACTGTTTTCAACTGTTGGCGAAGAGTAATTTGATGTCGACGTCATCGTAAAGGAATGTGTCCGAGCCGTTGTCTGCGACTCACCGGCACGGTTGTTCCGACTGTGAGCCGCTGGGAGTTGCTTGCCAGAGATAAAGAGTTAAATCAGAGGGATACTTAAGTGAACCGGGATCGTAAGCGATGGGATCTTAGGTGGAAACTAATATACAGACAAATTTATTTAGAGTTCAGATCTCGGGTATTTTTCATTATCGATGATCCTATTACTTCTGAACATAGTCTTTTTAAGTTTAGTCAGGTCATGATTAGGGAGTGGGTGGGGGGAGGGGGAGGATCATGTATGTTTAGGATCAGGATTAGGTACAAAATATGAATAAAAGATTTTCATAGATGAGCGTTCAAAAGTAGTCTTCCAGAAAACATAGCAGGCTACCGAAATATTCCTGACTGATTCTTGAAAATAGTGAATGAAATACAAACTTACTTTCATATCTTGTTGAGCCTTTACTAAATGGCATAAAATTATAAATACAGTCAAACCTGTGTAAGACGGCCACCCATTGTCAAGGAGAAAAGTGGCCGTATAAGACATGTGTGTGGCTGTCTTAGGCTGGACTGATCAAGATGAAGAAAACAAACCATTCCCATCTGAAGTCCAATAATTGAAAGTAGCCGCATTGTTGTTTTTTGTTGTTGTTGGTTTGTATTTTTTGTTTGTTATCTTTATTTTGTTGCTGAATTTGCTCAAGGGTGACAATAAAATGAAATGTATCAGACGAGGAAGACCAAGTGGCGTGTTAAAACAAAGTTACAAACACATGGGTCGCCACCACTCGGAGAACGAGCGACGCTTCTGTCACAAGTACATGCTGATTTCCATTGTTACTTTGTTACAGACTGGATAAACAATGACCACTCATCCCACTTACGATTTGTGTATGAGTTCTGGGCGGGGCTTAGGTTATGAGGGATCACACGCTCACCTCACCAGCAGCTGAAAATTGGTACCTATTGGTCAACAGAGGGAGGGGCCTACGCAACATTATCGGTTGGAGGGACTACCTAACAACAACGACAAGTTATTGGATTATGACGGCTCGCCCACAACGCCAGGGGCCAATGCACAATTTATGACAAAACGTAATGGAGTCACTAAGGTGGCCGTCTAAGACAGGTGTTATTGCTTAGTGTGATAGTGATAGGGGTTATGTGTTTAAATATGGTGGCCGCGGCCGCGTTGGACAGGTACCAGTTTTACACAGTTAAAATATAGAAAAAAATGCAGGGGGGTGGAATGGAAAGTGACCGTTTGTACAGGTGGCCGTCTTTTAGAGGTGGCCCTCAGGGCAGGTTCGACTGTAATTTTCATCCTCCTAATTTGCATTTTTGCACATTTTTTAAGCATTATTATAAAATACCCTTTTTCCTTTTTGAGTCCATATGTGTCGTCCCATGCTCTCCTGTGCCTGTCTTATATTCTCTGATTCCTTTATCGCCCATTTTTAAATTCAGTTTGTAATGTCAGTCTTTTTGCCTTGTATGCTTCATGGGAAGTGGCGGAGAATGTTTCTGTGTGTTTTAAGGTCTGCTGGGGTAATGGTAATAATAGTTGTAATCTGCAAAGCACCAGAGCTTTCTGTTGAGCAGGGGACATGCACTATACAAATTATGCTATCTATTAATTTTTTATTATCAATAGATACAATACAGACTTTGCCATCATGTCTGGATTTGATCAGCAAGAAGGATTTTTCCAAACCAACTACTATGACAACCAACAGAACTACAGCTATGACAATCAAGGTCAACAAGCCCAGTTTGGCCAAGAACCGTGAGTATTTTTGGCCTGTTGCCGTGCCACGCTTTTTGAATATGTGACAAATAATCTTAAATTGTATTATTCATCGCCTTTTTATGGTAAGAATGATGAACCCATGAAATATCAAATTAAAAAATTGGACAAATTGACAGTAAGTTACCTATTAGTGTCTCTGTCACAAGGCAATGAAATCAGGCGCTTGTTGATTTTTGGCCTTATGGAGTTGAATGTATTATGTTGGGCGCTACTCTGTGGCGATTGGGTGTGTTCACTTTGCTCTATGCTTATTCTGTGTTTTTTCTCAATGATTCTGTTGTGATTGGACTCTAATTTATTACTAAATCCTTTTAAGACAACAAACATCCCTTGTTCCCTCAAATAAAAACATCAGTCAGAAGTAAAAGACCTAGGCTTCTGATCTGTAACAAAGAAAGATATATAGAAGGTCATTTTTACCATCATCTATTAAAATGCTTCCATCTTTACCATCTTGTGTAAGTATACTTACGACCTTAGAGCATGCATCAAAATAACATTGAGTGTGTATCTAGTTTGCGATTATTATTGTTTATATTGCTGCTCTTTTATATTATGCATGGGATTGTAAGCCTACGTGTGTGTGCATGTGTGCGCATGTGTGCGTGTGTGTGTGTGTGTGTGTGTGTGTGTGTGTGTGTGTGTGTGTGTGTGTGTACACGTGGTGAAACAACAAACCAATGTGCCAGGATCTGGACAATAAAGATGTATCTTATCTTATCTTATCTTAAATCTTGTTCGTTTGTCTTGCTTTTGATGAAAAAAATACCAATTTTTTAAAACTCATTCGTTACGCTGAGCTGTGGGCGAATGCGTCGCTAAAATGACTTCATTACGACGAGTCCCCCTGACGGCTCGAGAACAGACCTATAATTATTTGCTAGCCTAGATTCTATTCCAATCCTCCTACATCTATGTTAAGATAAAGAATATATTATAGCATTGACTTTGGGTCAAGCTTTACTGAAAACTGTAAGTTTTGATTCAGTCTGTTCTGAATTACAATATTCTAAAACAATTTTTGTGCGAAAAATTCTGAAAAAAGTAATTTTTTGGGGGGGGGGGGATCACCCTGTAAATGTGTTTTTAGACCAGATTTAAATGCTGTCAAAATAGGCTTAAATACATTGGCTAAATGGTGTTGCTATTATTTTTGTTCGGTTACTCGAATTAAATACAAAATATTTTGCTCCTTTGTTCATTTTCTCTATGGAAGGACTCATACATTTTTTTTCTCCTTTTCTTGTGTTTCAGTCAATTTGGTCAGTTTGACTACAGCCAAGGCTACAGCGGAGAGCAGCAGTATGCCGCCCCGGAGCAGAACATGTACACCGGGTCTATCATGACTCCGAGCACTTCCAACTTTGCTGACAAAGCAGATTCTGGCGGTGACAGCTATGAAGATGAACCACCTCTGATGGAAGGTAGGAATGTTATTTTTTTACTCCTGAAAATGACAAAGTTTTAAGTTTTCTTTTCATGGCTGTTTTAGCGTACAGATATGTTTATTTATACAGGCATGTACAGAAATGTACCTTACTCAATTGATGTCTCTTTGTAGATTTCTGAGCACCTCTCTTGTGTCGAGTTAATAGCCTTATCCTATTTTGAAAAAAGGCACTACCACTACTGCTAAGTGAAAAGTCTATCAAATGTCCTCTGAGACATGTTATAGCGGAAGTGCCATTAACACCTGTCTTAATCTTTTCAGTCGAAACTGTTTGAAACAGACACCCAATCGCGACCTCAGTGCTTTCTTGTCGTATCTCCATTTTTAAAATACTGTGAAAACAGTTCATAACAAAAAAGCACTGAGGTCGCGCAATGTTGAGGAGAAAACTTAAAACTGGTCATCTTAGAAAGGTGGCCGTCTTTTGGCAGGACTGATTGACACGAAGAAAACAAACCTTTCCCTGGAGATGTCCCAGCCAGAGACGGCTTTATTTTTAGGAACGTTGTGAGGTTTGGCCCGACTGTTCAACTCATGTAAACAGTGGGGGGGGGGGGGGGGGGGGGGGGCGGCTCTCGTGGCCTAGAGGTTAAGGTGTTTGCCACTCTTTCCGTGATCGAATCCGGGTTGCGCTGAAAATAATTTTTCCTCTAAAATTGTCTTCTTTCACTTCTTTCTCGGCTCTCTAGCAATGTTCTGTCATTTGCTTTCGCCTCCACTTTCTGCCCCCATTCCCTAACCTCCTTTGCGCCCCTTCTCTGGGCCTCTGACTCTTTCTGCAGCCTTTCTACTACTACTCCTTGGCTCCTTCTTAGTGCTGTCTTTCAGCCACACCCCTGATCTTCTGGTAGGAAAGATCTACACCTAGCCTTCTTGGACAAGGGCGAAAAATCTTGGAGGTCCCGAATGCAAGTTGCGCACGTTAAAGATCCCTTGGTGGTCGATAATCGATAAGAGTAGGCTTCGGCCATCACCGGGGCAAAATTCAAAATTTCCTACCAACTGAAAATGTTTAGTGTGTTCCGCGTGCTGATATGACCTTATGCTGTTGCGAGTGCCATTAAACACTTACCGCAAAGAAAAGACAGGTCTAACTTACTTTTTGAGTAAATGTGAGGAGCAAAGTCCTGTCAGTGGTGAGGTTACATTTTGTGATTTTCCAGGGGACACAGTTGTGCAAATCTGTCTTGTGTTGGGAAATTGTTGAGCAAAGAGGAGCCTATAACTTTTACCCAGGCGCTGTCATCTCTTCTGTCATCTTCTTTTTCATATCATTAGGAAATTGTGACTAGGTAAAAAAATTCAATTGTGGAGTATAGCTTATGGTAACAAAGTGTATCCGTGATCAATTGCTTTTTAAAGTTTTTCAAAACTCAATGGATACCCAGCCATATAGGAATAATGTATTGCACTCAGTTCTTGAAGATTATTAGGGTACAGCATTAAGATCTTGTCGGTTTGTTAGTGTTTGAGCGTGTGCAATTCGCAGCTTGCTCTGTTTACTTCCCACCGGAAGCCAAGAATGTCTCTGAGTATTCCAGGGTCTGCTATGGTAATAATAGTCGTAAAGCACATAGAGGATGCTGTAGGGTAGGGCTTAGATATGCGCTATTTAAATGTAGTTATTGTTATTATTTATTATTATTATCATTATCGTTATGGTTGTTATTATTATT